TCTTCAAATACACGTATTAAACGAAACTCGAACTATGTAAATGTCTAAAAATGTAAATTTATCGTTAGCTGGATCACATCAAACGTGTATATAACTACATTTGTCGGCATGTTACATGTCTCAAGAGATAAAATAAATGAAATCTCAAATTTAGTATAATTCGGACGAAAAAATTTAGAAAACTTTGCAAGAGTTCAGCGCTATATGTAAGGCCTCGACAAATTTGAATAAATAACAAAATAAATATAAACAGAAAACAAAAATTGATTTTACTAACAATAAGCAAGAGCTCAGATAATAGTAAATAAAACATCCAAATATATGTACATACACACTAATCAAAATTATACACATAAAGATAAACCAAAAATGATAAAAGGCATATACGCTATAATATATACATAGATGATATATATATGGTATATATATATATATATATATACATGTGTGTGTGCGTGTGTGTGTATGTGTGGTGTTAAAATGACATAGGCGCCAGTCAAGCATAGAACAAGGAGACGCTAAACGTTGAAGTATGCCTTTCAAATGGGATGGTCTTTGATATTAAAAATTTTTAATAGAAATAATAATAATTTAATAATTATACTACTAATTCTAATAATAATTATTATAAACTATAATAATAATAATAATAAAACAACTATAGAGGTATACATCCACAAACGGCCAGCGAAACAACAATAATATTAATAACAATCATAACTGAATAATAATAATAACAATCATAACTGAATAATAATAATAATACACAAAATACCCATACTAAACTCCATAACACCAACTCGAAGCAGTCAAAAGCTAGTGACATCAAAAAATACGAAAAGATACTTGACAATATTTTTTTAGTAGCTTAAGTTGACTAGAAAGAATTAACTAATATAACCTACACATTATATAATAACATAAAACATCGTGTTATGTGTGCGTGTGCGTGCGTGCTGTATGTGTAAAAAGTGTAATGTAACATGAAAGTAAAAGATAGTTGCAATGTACTGTGATGTTGTTGTAATGGAGAATGTGTAACGTACGAAAGTAACAAACAACTAATTACAACAAGTTTTTATAAAGATGACGTTTGGTCTGTCTGTCTTGCCTGTTCAATGGTAAAAGGTTGCGAAAATGAAAAAAATCGACTTGAAAGACTTTAATACATTCTATATATTTGTATATGTGTGAATGCATACATCCATGCACACATATATGCATACATAACACACACACAAATACGCAAGCATATATACATACGAACACATGAACCAAAGATTTTTAATTTGAAAATGCATTTCTGAACCGGTATATTGATACTCATCTGCTACTAACTAAACTGACGGACAGAAAAAATTTAGTTAGGCAACGAATATATAGAAAAATAATACTTTGTTGACAAAAAAAAATAATTATTAATAATAAATACAAGAAGTACAAATAAAATAAAATAATAATAATCATTAAAACATTTTCCAGGTCAAGAAAAAAGTAAAGTGAAGTTTGATTTTTGGCGCGAAGGAGTTTAGTAACAAACGTATTATCTGCTTAGTATCAGGCGCTTAGTTGACGACGCATCTGACGTAAAAAGTCTGCCTGTGCTTAATTTCAAAATAGCCTTTTTAGCACCATAGCAAACAGATCAAAGTTGAATTACACAACATTGCACAGATTAAAATACTGGCACATTCGTAAGAGTAAATCTAAATAGAGATAGAAAGAGAGATAGAAAGAGAGATAGAAAGAGAGATAGAAAGAGAGATAGATAGATAGATAGATAGATAGATAGATAGATAGATAGATAGATAGATAGATAGATAGATAGATAGATAGATAGATAGATAGATAGATAGATATAGATAGATAAAGAGATAGACAGGTAGATAGACAGACAAATAGATGATAAAGAAAGAGAAAAAGAAAGACAACGAAAGAGAGAGAGAGAAAGAGAGAGGAATAAGCAATTATAATAGAGCCAGAAAAATAGATTTGACGACTTTGATTTGAATGTCCTGAAAATTCGTTGAAAAACACGACATAAGATTTGAATTTTGAAAAAAAAAACAGCATGCAGACATCTTTGAAATAATTTCAGTCACAACATTAAAAAGAAAAATCACCACTGAAATATTTAAAATTAAAATGATCTTAATAATTAATGAAAGTAATAAATACTGAACCTGATACCATTTAGATAGAACTTCTATCCGTGATATTTACTCAAGTATTCCAAACACACACACACACACACACACACACACACACACACACACACACACACACACACACACACACACACAAACAATTACACATGAAAATATCGGAACAAAAATAAAATGATGTAACGATTGATCATCGTAAATGTAACAATCCTCATCTTAATCATCGTTAAAATCAACAAAATCATAGCAGTTTTTACGAGAAATGTTACAACTTATCCAAGAAATTCTACAACATTTCCGAAATACTTTACAACATCTTCAAAATAATTTACAACACTTGTTAACCACTGAACTCAGAATTTCTTATACTTCTATATTCCTAATAAGACAGATAAAACATGTTTAATTATAAATATTGTAAAATGTTTTGGATATGTTGAAAAATATTTTGGGGATATCGTAAAATTTCTTGTATAAGTTGTATTACTTCTCGTAAAACTTCTAAAATGGTCATTATTAACCGACTTGATTTTTGAAGATGAATAAAACATTCACTTACTCACTGATTCATTCGTTCATTCATTCATTAACTCATTCACTTACTCATCCATTCACTAACTCATTCATTCATTCATTTATTCAGTAACTCATCTACCAACGTTTCAATCTTGTGAATAAACAAATACCCGACCAATAAGCCATAGCTCTCAAAAAATAAACTAAACAAAACATAAAAAAATATGCCAAATCAGCGGCAGAAACAAATAAACCAAAAAATATTTGAAAAAAAGGATAAAAAACAAAAACAAAACCAACGATTGGATGAGATAATAATTGGTATAAAATGTAAAAACAAAAACCAATACACGTCCAGTAGAGATTGTAATCTTTACTAGAGCGCTATATAAATGTATATATATATATATATGTATATATATATCAAATACACGCGCATACAGCTAAAAGAGCCTAGTTTCTGATACAAAACTACCCTCATTAAAACTTTGATTCAATATCATAGCTAAAAACAACTATAAACAGGAAATATACAATTTTTGAAAAACAATCTAGAAATAACTGAGAGGCAAAATTAAAAAACAAAAAAAAAACAAAAATTTTAAAAATACAAAGAAAAACACTTGAATAAAATACAAACAAGAGGCATTATGATACTAACTCATTAGCATAAGACTGGAACTATCTCGAAGCTCATCAATCATAATTTCAACGCTGTCACACATCATACACGAATAAACAAACACACACACAAACACATATATATATACACAATATTATTTAGATGTTTGAAGTATAGTGTATTACATAACATCTAGTAGATGCTGCCACATAAGAGTGATTGAAAAAAATCAAATTAATCACAGGCGATGAATTTTAACGATTAATATAAAACAACTACAATAGTAATTATAGTGATAATAATAACAACAATAATAATAACAACAATAATAACGATGATAATAACAATAAAAATTAGCATTCATTCATTATCATGATTATTTGAAGGATGCACATCTTAACGGCGAATGAAAATAAACTTTTAAAAAATGTATCTACACTTTTCCTGAAGAAAGGTAAAGTTTGAAAGAAAAAATCATAAAATTCTGAAAAGTTTTAAAATGTAAATGACAATCCAACAAAAACAACTCTAGCAACATGGCTGTTGGTGCGTATTTTGTTCATCATAAAATCACAATATAGAGCTAGAACTAGGGCGAAAAAGCGAAAATACACATTCATCACGGCATAATTAGACCGCTCTTAATATTTTGCCAATTAAGTTGTTTAGTCAACCAATTAAACAATCAGCCATCAATCAACCGACCGATCAATCAATCAATTATACCAATCAATCAACTGATCAATCTAACAAATATGGAAAAAAGAATAGCATCAAATATGATACAATTAGTTTTCAAATGAATTTCCAAGTAGAAATATTATCACATAACATTGGAAGAGTTTTCGGATAAAAACAAAATGAGAAATTTATTTCCATAATTTCCTGGTTGGATCAAAGTTACATGGAGTTAAAATAATAACCGACCGAACAATAAACTGGCAAGATCATCATCAATATCTATCTCAAATTACATATAATTTCATCATTCATTCATTCATTCAATCAACTCATTCATTAATCACTCAGTCATTTCTCTACAAGATCAATCAATCCATCCATCCATCCTAGCATCCATTCTTCCAACCAATCACCGAAGGGATAAATAAAATTAACCAATCATTCAAAGTATCAATCAACCAATGACTCAGTCAATCAACGAACCATTAATATCTCAACAACTCTTTTACTCATTCACTTAACCATTCATTCATTCATTCATTCCTTTATTCATTCATTTACTGACTCGTTCATTCAATCATCCGTTCTTCAATCACTCAGCCATCTCATTGGTCAGCTATATTTAGAACGTGATCTCGGGTTATATCAATGGAGATATGCCGAGAAATGAAAATGTAACTATAAATAAAATATTATTGAATAAATTAATAAATTATTATTATTATCATCAACCAAAAAATAAATTCATTATAAATAAATGTTATTGTAAATTAAAATAGTTACACAATGAATAAATGAAAAAAGACAAACCTTGTACACAAACGTACAAACTTGACAACAAAAATAACATACAAAACATTGTTAAAAATCAACTGAAAAACATATAAACAACATACAAACAAACAACAAACAAACACACAAATGACGTACAAACAAACAAACACAAAACACACAGACCTTTCAAATAAGTCCAAAACCTTTATAAGAAACAGAGCCAAACAGACCCTCTCTCTTCATCAGTGTCTCCCGGATCTACTCTCCTTATACTCCTTATAATCTCTCCCACTCTCTTTATAATCCTTATAATCTCTCCCACTATCTTTATAGTCCCTACTGCTACTCTCTTTGTAGTCCCTACTGCTACTCTCCTTGTAGTCCCTGGCACTCTCTTTGTAGTCCCGATCCTTGTAGTCGTACTTGTCGTAGTACCTGTCTTTGTCTCGGCTGCTCCGACTCTCCCTGTAGTCGCGATCGCGGCTTCGACTGCGATTGTGGCGGGAGGATGTCTTCGTGGTGGATCGATCCCTCGGCGACCTAGATCTACGGTGGTCGCTCCGTGATGACCTTGTTTCGTTTGATTGTGTGGGATTTTTAAAATTTATTTAATGGCTGCTATCATCTCAAAAACCAAAGTTTCAAGTATAATAAAAATGACTCACACAAAAAAATCTAAATTTGCAAACGATAAAAACAACTCAAATACATGAACAAACCAAAAAGCAGCCCTAATATGACCCAAAAACGTACTGCAGCCTGGCTCTAAAATGACCCTAACACATTAACCAATCACAGTGCAGCTCTAAAATGACCCAAACACCCACAAGAAAATGATAGTGTATCCTTACTTAGATCCATAGGATTTATCCTCAATGCCACGTAGTGTGTCCTGAAGAGAGCTCACGAGGATCTTGCATCTATCATCACTGGCAATCTTACTCTGTTTGATGAGGGAGATTGCAGTCACCAACGTTTCTATGGCACTTGCATATTCACCTGCGTTTGTGTTGTGAGTATATGAGGGAAGGAGGTTGCGAGTTATGATCTAGCTGTGTGAATTTTATCAAAAATTTTATCTCTTCTATATCTGTAATTAGCTTAGTAAGCCAGTTTCAATCGATCAAGTCCGCCAAAAACATAAAAAAGAGACCAACCAATCAAAAACCATCCTATAAACCAACCAACCAGCCAACCAACTAGCCAACCAACCAGCACTGGCGTCTTGCACGGCTCTTGAGATAGCACTACTTGATACAGATTTATTCCTCTGTAAGATATCTTCAAACTCTTGCATATCTGACAGCTGTTGTTGTTGCTGTTGATGCTGTTGTGTGGCCGACGAACTGGCTTCAGTTTTAACTTGCTCTCTGGACTGAGGACTAAATTGGGACTGTTGCTGTTGAAGCTGCTGTTGCAGCTGCTGTTGCTGGCGCCAATCTTTGTCAATGTGCTCTCTCTCCGCTTGTTCTCTCTCTGCTCTCTCCCTCGCGTACATGTCCAACGGGAGAGATGAAGAAGAATTAGAAGGGGATGGAGTGATGATGGGAGTGCCGTGTAGGATGGGTTGTCCGAGGGGATTTCTTTCAATTGTTTCATCATTATTATTGTTATTAACATTCAATTGTTTCATTATTATTATTGTTATTAACATTCATTCATTCAACAGATTTTAAACTTTTAAACAAACAAAACAATTAGAACAATACAAACCAACCGGCCAGACAGCAAACCAATCAACCAACCAACCAACGAACAAAGAGACAAACAAACAAACCTTTCCCTGAACGGATCTACAGCTGGCTGCTGGAACAATGGAATCTGCCTGCCCAATACATCAGTCGGCTGCTATTGTCGGATTATTTTTTTAAAAAAAGGTAAACAAATTTTTTAAAATAAAACAAATAACTTAAATAACTTTAATTAAGTAAGTAATATTGTGGAAGGTCTAATGAAAATGAAATGGATAAAAAATTAATGATAAATCAAGTCCACCAATTTCATTACCCCATGTAATAATTGTTGTTGTAGGTGCTGTTGTTGTTGCTGTTGTTGTTGGAATATGTGTTGTTGTGGAATTTGTTGTTGCTGTTGTTGAATGTTCTGGAAAGTTAATTGCTGATTGGCTGGTATGCCTTGCTGCAATGTGATTGGCTGTTGCTGCTGTGGATGCAGAGCTACTAAGCCTCCTGGATTGCCTGCTCAACCAATCAAATCAATCAATCAATTGACCAATCAATCAACCAACCAATGAAATCAATCGACCGATAGAATAATCAACTAAACAAACAATCAATAAACTCATTAATTAATCGCTCAATCATTAGCAAACACCTCAATGAAATAAACCCTTGCACATTTATAATCAGACAACAAGCGTACAAACAAAGAACAAACACATGCCAAGAACATTTTGTTGTTGTTGTTGTTGTTGTAGGACAATCTGCCCAAGCGACTGACGAACAACAACTGGTGGAGGCTGTTGAAACCCTTCATAATTAATAATTATGAATAGGTTAGGATCATAATGATCTTTTATGATTAAAAATTATGTTCAATTATAATTAATCATTAACAATACATTCATAGTGATAACAACGATATTTTATAATATATACGAAAGATTAGTTAAATTTTTCACTATATATTTTAAATTAATTGCGGAAATTTGTCATAAATTGACATTGGCATCATCATCATCATCTCACTCATTACATCGTCGCCATCATCACCCCAATGCTATTAAAACAACCATCAATATAAACTGCACCATCATCATCCTGAACATCATCATCATCATCACCATCGTCATAATCATCATCATCCAAAACATCATCTTCATCATCATGAACATCATCGTCATCACCATCGTCATAATCATCATCATCCTCATTGTCACCAGGTCATCACCACCACCATCACTATCATCATCATCACAACCTGCTCTCAATTCCATGGAACTGGGTGGCACTACACCTCTCAATCCCATTGATGGAGGTGCTCTCAACTTGAAGATTATAAAAATAAATTATGACTAAGATAATTAATTATGACTAAGATAATTAATTATGACTAAGATAATTAATTATGACTAAGATAATTAATTGTGACTAAGATAATTAATTATGACTACGATTGCAATGAAAGTATTACTAATAATTATAATAGTTATAATAATTACGTTACTAATTATATGTAACAACGAAAACACCCATTCATTTACCCATATAATTAATTTATCAATTATACATGATCAATCAATTAACCAATCAGTTAATTTTTATTAATTCAATCACTCAGTCATTAAACTAATCATTAAGTCATACATTCAATCAATCAACCAACCAACCACAATTATGTAATCAGTCAGTCAATCAATCAATCATTCGTTCAATCTATCATTCGTTCAATCAATCAATTATCACTCAATCATTCCATACAAAAATGAAAAAAAGAATTATCAGTATGAATGAATAAAAATTTATTTAATGGATTTTTGCTAAAAAATGAAATCATGGAAACAAAAACAACGACAAAAAAAACAACACCAAAAACAGTAAATACAACAACAACAACAGTAACAAAAATAATAACAAACAATTGATATTTCAAACAACAACATGCAGAAAACTACCAAATTAGGCATTTGCCCTCGGTGCTGTTGTTGCTGCAGTAACAATTGTTGATGCTGTTGTTGTTGTTGATGTGGTGGTCCACCAACAACTTGTAACTGCCCAGGAGGAAGATGATGAGGGGGGTGATGCGGTGACTGGATAGGGTTGACGTTGGGCGTCAATGGGGCCACCCCTGGGCCCCCTCCGGTTGCTCCAGCCATGCCCATACCTGTCAGCCCCGGTCCGGCCCCTGTCAATCCGGGTGGATGGAGAGAGGAGGGTTGTAGACCCCCTGCTATGCCTGAAGGTCCTGCTGTTTGTTTGTATGTAATGTTTTCGTTTGTGTTACTCTCTGTTTTGTTGTTTATAGTTTACTGTGAGTATGTATGTTTTTGTGTTGTAAAAACTTCTACTGATGTTGTTATAAATGGGTTGTTAATGCTCTTAATTAAAAATGTTGTTGTTAGCGCTGTTGCCAACAACGTTAATGTCATAAATAATCATTAAATATTTGTGTTGACGTGTGCCGAATGGTCCAACTGTAATACACATGAACATGGTACAACAAGCACCATAAAATTACATAGCATAACGCTGAAATATTCTAAAATAATATAAATACTTTTGACAATGAACAAAAAAAAACAAAGCTGTTGGAATGAACTCAATGATATATACAATAAATAGGAACAACCACTAACCACCAAAATGTCTAACAGCACCTCCACCACCTCCAACCATTCCAGTAAGAGCAGGTGGGGGTAAGGCTGTGTTGGGACCAGAGGGCAGAAGAACACGAGGGGACTGCCCTGGGCCCCCTAGCAATGGTCCAGGATGATTTGGAGTGGGCCCTTGTGCAAGATTAGGTGGATGACCCGGACGAGTTGTTGGCATGTTGATGATAGAAGAATGAAGTTGTTGTTGGTGGGGTGGTTGTTGATGTTGAAGTTGCTGCTGGTGCGGCTGAGGTGGTGGACGCAGGCGAAATTGTGGCTGTGATAGATGAGATGGCGGCGCTGCTAATGGCTGTTGACCTGTTTTTGTAATTTTGTTTTAAATTTAAAAAAATCAAACACCTAAGCTTCTGTTGAAATATCAAAAAACAAACCAACCATCCATCAACCTACTAACCGTTGTACATTGGTGAAGCAGGCTCCTTCTTGCCAGCAGCGGTAGCCGAAGCTGATGAAGTGGCAGCAGTGGCCGCTGAAGTATCAAACTGCTTTAGCGCCATAGCCGTGCAATGAGTGACCACAACTTGCTGACCATGAATCTCACGTTTTGATAATTTGTCCAACAAAATTTTTGAACTCATTTCAGAGTTTACTGTTACTGTTGCAAAACTATGATGATGAAAATAATGATGACAATGATGAGGACGAAGAAAAAAGAATATAACACAATAGACACAAAAATAATATTATAAAATAATATAATAAATTATATTAATAAATAAATAAGTTAGCAAATAAAATAAAAAAATTATGAAACTGACCCTTTGGATTGCCCGTTGACTCTATTCTCGTGGAACTTTATATCTATGAGGTCATTGATTCCAAGGCTGGCAATGGCATCGGCCAAATCTTTATCTGTCGTCCACTTTTGTATTTATAAATTTTAAAATTATTATAATTAATTAAGCATAATTATCAAACTAAATTATCCATTTAATTAACCTTCCAATAGATTATAAATGAGTTTAATTAGAGAATAAAAACTATCAAGAATATTCATAATTTAAGATAATTATAACAATAATATGCATAATGATAAGATAATTATGCTAATAATTATTCAAAATTTCTTACCCAAGATAAGTTAGCAACATACAGTGAGAATTTTTTACCATTGAATGATGAGTGCCTGGAATACTGACTTGAATACTTTGTCTGCTTGTTAATAATTAGTTTTTTTAGCAATCTTTATTATTTATTTATACAATTATTTGTTTGTTAATAATTAGTTTTAGCTTGTTTTATTAATTATTTATTTATATATTTATTTATTTTATAAAAATATTAATTTAATCTATAAGAGTCAATTTAGCTCACATTATGATTATTTATTTAATAAAGTTTAGAGTATGAGTTTACTAACGTCTTCGAATGGGTCACCATGCCGAGAAGCCATTACATCAAACATTTCTGAGTCCTGATATTCATGATCCTTGTTTAGTTATTATTAAAAAGAAATTAAAATATGAAAGGGAAACTAAAAAAAGCTTATCATTTCATTGATTAGATTATATTTTATAGTGATTTAAACTGAAATTTTGACTGAAAGAAAGGTTAATAAAGAAAAAAAGTACTTTTTATCAAATTTTAAATTAATTTATTAAAATTTTGTTAAAAAATCCTTAGCTTAGCCACACATACAATACATAAGAAGAGATAGATAGGTCATAGATAGAAAATGAAAGTGTTTCAATAGTGAATTAATTAGCCAGTTTTAAACAGCTATATTAATGTATAATTATTTATATGCAAATTTTGAATTGGAATTGAATGCAGAATGAAATGAAACAAATTCAAATCAGCAGAGTTAGAGCAGAGCAAGCAAAAAAACAGCAATAGAAAAAGCATTATTAAGCGGAGAGAGCATTTCAAAATTTTCCGGAAAAATAAAAATAAAATCAAAATTAAAAAATGATGGGAAATATAACTAACTGGTCCAAAATCGTCGACATCGGCGTACAAATCGATTCCATCGATGCTTTCCTTCGCCATTTTTTTTATCGCTAGTAGAACGCAATATCGGCGATCACAGCAGTAGATAAAGTACAAAAACTACGGAAAGCGTATATTAAAAACTGCAATTATATTTTCACGTTTTGTTAACACCTTCATATTTAATTTATTTATATGTTGTAGGCATAGTTTATTTATAAATGAATGAATAAAAATTTAAATAATTTTCATATATATAAAGCGGCAAAATTTTTCGAGGAAAGGTGTCACAAGAGTCAGTTAAATGAATTATTAATTTTCATATATAAAAATTCATCAAAGAATGTAAAGCAAATCATATTCGTTGAAATTGTAATTAATCCCGCAGTTTTAAATTAAATAAAAAAAAATTAATCAAAAAAATAATCTTCATCACGGTTGTTGATAGTCAGAGTCCGGATTTAAGACGAATATCTCGATCTCTTGTTCCAACCTCAATTCTCAATATGGCAACTACCATCCTATGCTGGCAATCATTCTCAACTTTCGAAGTAAAACAATTTTTCAGCCATCTTTTATCTTTCTCTGGCACCAAAATATAATCAAACACCCTGCCATCTCCTCCAACATTGTTCGTTACCAAAGATTCGAATTTTTTTTTGGAACAAAGGTTGGCAAGTGACAATTTCATTTCTGATGCGAACTTCCAGAGCAGTGCCCCTTCGAAGGTTTGCTCGCCCACCGTCCTACCGAGATGTACCCCCCTATCGTGCCCCCGATCACAATCCACCTGGCCATTAAAATCTCCACAGATAACGACCAACTCTGAATCATCAATGCCAACGATCAAATCTTTTAGTTGAAAATAAAAATCTTCCTTTTCATCTAAGAAACGTTCTGACTCAGGCGCATAAACTGAAAATACATTGAGCAGATGATGTTTGTCTGTTCTGACCTTCAGATGAATGATCCGATCATGAACTTTCACAACGTCTTGAACTTTATGCGCATACTTTCCGCAGACGACGATAGCCACGCCCTCATTACTCCTACCCGTCCAGAACAGTTTATTACCGGCGCCGATATCTGTCAACAGACGGTGCGACATTTTAATTCGTTGCAGGCAGCAGAAATCGAACCGCCTCTCACGCATCATAGCAGGTATGTACTTTTGCCAGTTTTCAGATGACGCCACGTTCAATGTGCCAACCTTCAAGAAGACTGCCTGGCCCTCGTCATTCGTCTGTCTCTTCTGCTTTTTCGAATCATCTATTGTTGGTAAGTGCATTGGTGCCTTATGAGAAGATTGAAATCAAGTTGTTGCGTAGTGTAAGATTGCATGCTGTAGTGTGATTGCATACTGTTGTGTGGTATGATGTGTTGTGTGTGATTGTATGCTGTTGTGGGGTATGATTTTAAGTTACTTTTTTGTATAGGAGAATGTCTGACAGAGAGGTCTGATCTGGAATGAGATGTTTTGTACTGTCGTTTTCGATTTTGTTGAGCTTGTTTTGAGGTGTCAATAAAAAGTTTTTGTAGATGTTGTTGTTGATGCTGTTGTTGTTGATGTGTTGGATACCTTGATGTACTGTCGTCATTAGTGTCTTCATCGCTGTTAAAATCTGAAAATGTTCAAAGATTTGATGTTTTAGCTGAATTAATAATGAGTCTAAGAATCACACAACGCATCACTAAACGCCAGTTAATGAAACAAGTTAAATAAAACCAACTCTCACCATTCATAAAACACAAAGAGAGTTTTAAATTTTAATTACATTACACAAATACAATTCATACCTACCTAAGTATTGAAGACGAAACTGAGATGAAGATGCAGATGATGATGCAGCTGCTGCTGCTGGTGGTGGTGGTGTTGCTGGTTGTGGTACAAATGAGTTTTGCAGTTGAGTGTGGTTGTGGTTGGCATCATTGTTGCTGGAACCTCTTCTAAGATCTGATGCCCTTGGAAACTATGGAATGAAATATTAGCAGCTTGTTAGGGTTAGTAGCTTTTGGCTTTCTGGTTTTATTTTAAATAATGAAAAAAAATACTTAAAATTTGGGAATAAATTATGCTGATTGATGTGTTTACTTATGCTGATGTAATTGAATATATTGATAAGATTTCACAGTTTAATGAAATTTACAGATGTTACAGAATTTATTGATGATAATGTACTACATACTGATGCAATTACACATGGATTGATGTAACTATATATACAAATCATGAGATAAAGAAGCAAATTGCAATTAAATTTAGACATATTATTTAATAAAGTTTGTATTTTGGATTATTTTATTTAAATTAATTAAATTTTTGAAACTTTGAATTAGAAAATGAAATAAAAATAAGAAAAAAATGGCTAACGTGAGAAAAGAAAACCTCCATCCATAGACTGTCACAAAATTTGTTTTAATTCATTCATTTATTTATATTCAATTCCCCAATACGTTGAAAAGTTAACTTTAATTTAAAAAAAAAACATTAAATTACATTTGCCAACTTACCTACCTAAAATTCCTAGGAGCATGACAGAGAAAGAAAACGAAAGAACCATCACCATGAACACTGGGAAAGGCAAACATGTTATTCACGCATCCATCCGATGGTGGTACTGGACAAGAGGGAAGGCTCTTGCAGTCAAACCCGGTAACCATTTGTTTGTAGATGTCCTTGTCAAGTTTGAGAAAGTAAAATAGAATTAGCTAGAGTTGATAACTTTTAATTGAATAAATTGTAAGAATAAAAAATGTTAGTATATATAATAACTTATTATAATGCTTAACAATAACAACTAAGCTCAACTGTTAAATTTAACTGAACTTCTCAGTTTCTCAATATTTTTTTTTCAACAGACTGACAAATAAAAAAATGACTGGTTTAACATAACATTCAATCACAAAAATCCAAGAATTATTAATTAAATTTGAATAAAAATTAAGCATAAAATTCCTAATTATTGGAAAAAAAACTTCAAAAGAAATAATATTTTTTTTAATGTACAAAAACAGAAACCTACTGCAACTTTGACCCTGTTCTCAGGCTCCTTGTTCTTCCAGTAAAAAAAACCTTTCATGTCTAACTCTGCATACACATCACTCCAGTTTGACAAGACGAAACAAGATTTACAATTTTCTGAGAAAAAGATCATTAAAATTTAAATTGTTGAATTTTTTATCAAATCATAATCACAAATCAGCAGATAGCGACAGACAATTTTATTTGAAATTTAAAAATGAATAATCATCAATATTATTTTAAAATATTATATGATTAATTATTGTAAAATATTATATGATTAACTAACATTAATAAATTAATATTAATTTATTAATATTAATTAATTAAATTAATAACTTTAATATGAAAAAATTAAAGAGGCAAATTACCATCGTACAAGCGTATACTCCCGGACATGCGATTTTTACGTTTTGGCATGTTTAATTTATTCACAAATTCAATGAAACAAGAAAATTAGGGAAACACACAAAATTAACCGTACGTACGGCTAGGGGATAATAAATATTGATTAATGTAAAAGTGAATGTAAGTTATAAATTTTATGGTAACGTAAAGCCGCAAAGTTTCCAAACCATTGAACATTTTTCAATGGTACCTACCATATAATTAGAATAAATATAACGGCCTTCGCTCATTTTTGACGGTCGAACAAGGAGCTTACTTCCGGAGGAAAATTGGAGGGTGATTTTTTATCGCCCAAGTCAAAAGTTACGATCGTATATTTACTAATTTCGGAAAATTGCTTTTATTTAAAATTTCAAAATGTTTTAAAAGGTACTAGATGCTGTTTTAGGATAGATATTGCTGTATAACGGTTAAGTATCTTTTTGCATTTTAAATAAAAAAAATTTTTTGTGAACCACCAACAACACTTTTAAACTCATTAACTGTAACAACACTAAACGACGACTAATTAGTAATTAAATTACTAAACTCTAATAATTAAGCTAAAACTAAATTCTACTGATTCTAATTACTAATTGAAATAAATAACAGATAACACTAACGAACATTAACAGATTAGACTACTAGAAACTACCAACCACTACAGTTAACAACTAACAGCACTTGTTCCTAAGATCCTAAATTCTATTGCTTGATTGGTTTTAAAGTTTTTATTTACAATGCTTAGGTCTGGCAATAAAAAATATACTAAATTAAATAAATATATTAAACAACTTATCAATCAATTTTATAAAATAAACAATTTTGTAATTTGTTCAATTGAAGCTTCAAACTCCCCAAGCTAACTTGCAATTTAATTAAAATTTATTAATTATGAGTGATTCAAACTAAATTTTTTTTCATTTAATGTTTTACAAAATATTCCTCATTCTTAAATTGTAGTACATGTTGTTATTAAATTTATTAAAGATAATGTGTGATTCCAGTGATTCATCGATCCATGACTTGTTAGATCATGATCATTCAGTTTTAAAGAATCCCCATCACCATAACCAATGAGGTTTGTAAAAATTGTACTTTTAATTTATTATATTTTATGCACTTAGAATGTTGTGTTATTAATTATTATAATTAATTTATTAAATGCTGTGCATACCTATGGCAAGTAAATAAAATAATTAAGCATAGAAATAGCCACAATCAAATTAATTTATATAGGCATGAGTATAATTTGGATAATAATAATTAAAAATATCGGTATCATTGAAAATGGATAAAGTCATAAATTGCTAAAAATAATAGTTCCAGTAAGATTTTGCCTTACACCTACATCTTTTTTCATTCTTATATTATAATAAATGTTTGTTATCAAATATATCAAGGATTGATTTCTCAATCCATGACTAGGTTGAATGTCATGATCCTACAGTTCCAGAGGATTCCCATCACCATTAGTCAATAAGGTTTGTATGACATTGTATGACATGACATTCAATCTAGTCCATGACTAGATTGAATGTCATGATCCTACAGTTCCAGAGGATCCCCATCACCATTAGTCAATAAGGTTTGTAGAAATCACCCCAGGCATACCATCAATGTTTTTTGGCCACCTTTTAATGTACTGTTAATAAAATGGCATTGAGAATAGTTATTTAAAACAATCTTATTAAAATTATTGAACAGGTATGACAAGATTACTTTCTTAATGTCCTAGTGTGAGGAAGATGTAAGCCATTTGTCCAAAGATAATCATATGCCTTATGCCCATGCAAATGCAGTGTCAACGCGAATGATTTTTGATCAGAGTCATATGTTCTAATTTTTTTAAACTTTTCCAGAAATTTTTCTATTAATTTATTTGTTACATTAAATACTTGATGTGTATTTCATTTAAAAACTTGATTATGCCAATTTAGTTAACTTGTTAAGCATTAATATAAAATGCTGTACTTGTAATGGTGATTGGTATGATGATGATGATCCCAGTCCTAAGCGGGGTTTATTATTCACAATGTCATTATACCCTTTCTAAGTTTTAATAAAATACATGGAATATTGGTGAATGCATTTTATATTTTTTGTATAGATAAGAATGTTGCAATGTATAATGATGATGTGAATTGCTTCCTTGTGTAACTGATGACATATAAATATAACTTACTTGAAAACATGGGAATGCTTTCTTCAGCATTACCTTCCTTTCTCCATCATAACCCTTATAATCTTTATTACAGAAATGGTCACTGCATATTCTTGCATTTTTTGATGGAAGCCATTTGAAATCATTTATTTCCTGTCTGATGCACTTAATCCAATCGTTTTGCATTTTTACATTTTGAGGAAATCTGAAATTTTATAAACTGTTACAGAAACTAAACATTTCTTAAATATTGCTTTTAATAATAAAATGGTAATCCATGATAGCATTATAAATTATAATTGTCTATAAAATAAAATATATGTAATTGTAAAACAAAATAGTTCTATTCAATGAGTATAGGGATATTGTTACATTTATTTTAGTGTGAAGTTAATTTGAAAATAAACCTGTGAAAAGATGCATCAGAAATTTTCTCATTTCTATTTATTATTAATGCAATTTTTAAATGCAACAGGTAGGCATGTTTGTGTATAGCTACGAAAATGAAAATTTACTTGAAAACTAAATTATTGTATCTGACACGAAAATTAGTACAGAAACAAAAACGAAAGAATAAATGACAATATAAAAATTTAAACATTGATTGAAAGAGTTTATTCTAATTATATGGTATGGGCAATTCGTTGCGAAATCGTTGGAGGAAATGGTGTCAACAGTAGTTATTTTACTGCATGGTAGTTAATCAGCCGGTATGAAGGTTATATTCAATTCCCATCAAATAAATTTGACAAAATATCATACAGAGGCAGATATATACACGTAGTTATAATACATTTATAATGTTGTATTTACACATTCAAATTGTACAATTGTGTTGTGGTGTTGTCTCAAATTATTGTGAATTCTCTCAGAAAATTTTAAACGTTTTACTACACTATATATACTAGTTATTTTTATCAATAATTAAAAAAAAATTTCAAATTGATTTCATTGTGATATCGATAATGATTTTTGTAACCTGACTGATTAAAAAGCATCAAAGAAAGTTAAAATAGGATGGGGAATTTGTTATATTGGGATATTCGTTTAAAAAGCGAGCAAAATTTTAATATAAAAGCGCTTATAAATATATGCATATTGGCTCAGCTTGGCTTGGCTCGGCTTGGAATCAGATGCTAAGCAAGGTGTGGTCTTAAACTATTTTGAATTCTCCCCGAAAAATTTGAACTGCGTGCGTACATATATAGCAATGATTACTGTTGTTTTTATAATGAATTTATAAAATATAGCGAGCAAAATTTTAACATAAAAGCGCTTATAAATCTATGTATATTAGCTCAGCTTGGCTTGGCTCGGCTTGGAATCGGATGTTAAGCAAGGTGTGGTCTCAAACTATTTTGAATTCTCCCCGAAAAATTTGAACTGCGTGCGTACATATAAAGTTAAGGCTACTGTTGTTTTTTATAATGAATTTATAAAATATATAAATATAGCGAGCAAAATATTAACATAAAAGCGCTTTTAAATCTATGCATATTGGCTCAGCTTGGCTTGGCTCGGCTTGGAATCGGATGTTAAGCAAGGTGTGGTCTCAAACTATTTTGAATTCTCCCCGAAAAATTTGAACTGCGTGCTTACATATATAGCACTGATTACTGTTGCTTTTATAATGAATTTTTATTATATATATATATAAAGTGACTGGAATCCATGTATACAAATAATTAAATTATATTATATTCAATTATATGTTTATATGAAAAGCAATATAGCAGATTCAACCAGCCAACCAGAAAGTTTCGAAGGCGTTCGTTCGATGACTTCAATTTAGTACGGTTAGCATTGTGGTTAAGACTGTATAATAGTGCAGTATATACATTAAACAAGTTTTTTACTGATGCGAATGATTGAAATGATGAGAATGTATAGTTGAAACGAGTATAAATAGAGGAGCTGAGACAACATGAAAATCAGA